GGCGCTAAGTGCTTTACATGATCACATTTGATGCTCACAGTAGCCCTACAAGAGAAGTACTATTATCAGCCCATTTTGAAGATGAAGAAGACTGAGGCTCATAGTTTAAGAATGTTGTCAATGGTCCCACAGCTAGCAAAGAGGCAGAGACGGGATTCAAACCAAGTGCTTCTGAGTCCAGAGCCTTTGCTGTTATCCACGATGCCAGTAACCACAACACCTGCCCAGTGCCAAGCTGCAGGCCAGGGCCAGAGGAAGCTCCTCAGTGAAATGAGGAAAAGAAAGGCAACGCGGCCTTTTCATAAAACTAAATTCATTCCACTTAAATGACTGTCTTTTGTCTGAGGTTCTTCCTGCTTTTGGCATTCCGTGTTTCCTACTTAATAACAGCACCAGAAGATGGCATCTTTCTTATTACTACAAAGGAAATGTAGGCATATAGTAAAATACCCGAATAGGAAAAAGGGTTATAAAATTCAAGTTCTTCCCACCTTTCCTCCCTTGACCTGCTGTCTCCTCCACAGAGGCAACCGCAGTGACTGGTTTCTCGTGTGTGTTTAATGTGTGTGTGTGAAATCTTTAAGAAACACAAATGGAATTTACACTCTGCATACTGCTTTGTATCTTTTTTAACTTAATAAATATCCTGGGATAATTGGGTATATTTAAGTTAATTACTGGGGGTGGAGGGACTCTACTGAGTCTCTATAATTGGGTATATTTACATTAATTACTGGGGGGGGGGGGGCGGGGGCTCTACTGAGTCTCCACTCAGAGAGCTACCAGAACCGGAGAACTAGCGTGTGTGCCCTGGAGCTGCTGCAGCCACTGAGGCCGACTCAGCGCCTGCCTTCACAGATCTCATACTGGAATGGGAGAGGCAGTCACACAGCAGCAATAAAACAGAATAATTGCATAATGTGATGCATGCTGATAAAAAGAAAAAAAGACACTTATAGAGATAGTTAGGGGCGGGGATGCGGGGGAGAGACTCTATGGGGAGGTGATATTTAAATTAAGACTTAGCCCTGGCTGGTATGGCTCAGTGGATTGAGTGTCGGCCTGCAAACCAAAGGGTCCCTGTTGGATTCCCAGTCAGGGCACACGCCTGGATTGAGGGCCAGGTCCCCAGTAGGGGGCGCGTGAGAGGCAACCACACATTGATGTTTCTCTCCCTGGCTTTCTCCTCCCCTTCCCCTCTCTAAAAATAAATAAATAAATACTTAAAAAAAAAAAAAGACTTAAAGGATAGAGCCAGTCATAGGAGGAACAGGTAGAACAGCATTTCAGGTAGAAGGAACTGAAAATGCGAAGACCTCAAGGAAGGGAGGAACTCGGCTCTTTTGAGGAACTCCAGGAAGAACAACAGCGGTGAAGAGGAGGCGGAGGCACGGTCAGAATGCCCTAGGAAACTGCTGAGGGGCCCAGGAGGGGTTGGGGGCGGTGCGGGCTGCTCTCCTAGGTGTAGCCACGCCCCAACGAGTGCTTTAGGGACTGGCTCATAGGCCAGTGAAGCCCTCAGGGCAAAAGAATGTGGTCTGGGCTGGGCTGGGCTGGGCTGGGCTGCTGACCGGTGACGCGAAGAGAGCAGACAATCTGTTGGAAGTGGAAGAAAATGCTTCAGTGATGGGTCAGCTTGGAGCAGGGTGAGAGGCTGGGAGAGTCCAGGTGGTGCAGCTTGGCAATCTGTGGGTGCAGCTGTCAGAGAAGATTCTCACTTGCTCACCTGGTCAGCCGTGCCTCTGGAGTATTCCAGATAAAGAGCTGAATGTTGCTCTCTGGAGAACAGAGGAGAGATCTCAGCTGCGACTGTAAAGACAGGAATTATAGACCTGCAATTTCAAATATCTGGGGGTAGGTTTGTGTATGGGAAAGAATGTTACAGTTTCTGACTCAAAGTGCCCATTTTAACACCTAGCTTTTTAAAAAAGCTTTAAGTTCAACTTATAAATCGTATTATTCCATAAATCTAGTCATTTTTCATATAAAAATAAATACGATCACTTTTGTTCTCTGATTACAGTTGAATTAATTCTTAAGTTTAGTAGAATTAAATGTTTTAGATACAGCCTTCAAACATTTAAGACTTACACATCTTAATTAACCAAATTTCCTTAGACATTTGAGACTACAGTAACAAAATTAATGTCCCTGATTTTCTCAAACACTTAAATGCCTGATAGGGCAGACTTACAAATCTAAAAAAGCAACAACTTTCTAAGCACTTTAAGCAGCTATTGTATGTCAATTACCTAGACTTACAAATGTAGCCAATCATATTCTCTGGGCCACTTCAAGAATCTTAAATCCAACACAAAACAGAACAAGGGTCAGAGAAGCTTCTTTCCTGTATTCATTTCTTCTTCATATGAATATTTATATTTTCTTTCTGGAGCTACAGATTTACTCTACCAGCACACGGCTCAGATTTTTTCCCAAATATTACTATTTGGAACCAATCTACATAATAACCTGAGGAGAACTTAGGATAAAACATTGCTTGAAGACTACAAAATTGCAAGTAAAGAATAGCAAAAAAGCATCAGTCCCTGCCCCCTCCAAAAAATATAGAGAGGCTGGGGGTATCAGTCTGGGTCCAGTTAGGAGAAACCACACAATAATTTGGATGGGAAAGGTTAATATAGAGATGCCCTAACTATAACAGGGGGCTGTAGTAAGAAGTGAAGAGAACTCTAAAGAATACCAGCATAGCATAGAGAAGCCAGGACCCTCAAGGCTGAGACAGAGCCAACACCTGAGGAACGGGCCCAACCCCTCCCCCACCTGCCCCAGGAGTGTGTCGTCAGGGGAAGCTGATGCTAAAGAAGCAGCAGGTAGTGCAGCAGTCCACGCTGGGTACCAATGCTGTTTGAAAAAATATCTAAGTGCAAAACTAACGTGGAAAATGTAGAGCTCTTACCCATACCAGTCAACTTCGGAACCAGTATCACACACTGACTTGTACAGATACCCAGCTGTTTTCTCTGTATATGTCCGAGCTTCCCTGCTAGAAAATATCCTCTTCCAGGACAAGGATGGTTTCATCCTCCTCCTGTGGCCAGCCCTGGAATGAGTATGCACAGGATGGTCAACAATTTACTTTTCAATATACGAACTCTGAGGGAGGAGTACTATTAAACTGTGCCTTTTTCCTACTAATTTTTATTCTATTTTTCCTACTGTAAAAGCAATAAATATTTATTGGAGACAATGCAAATACAGAACAAAAGGAAAAAAATTATCAACTCTATTTCTACTACCCAGAAATAACTTCTTAGTACTTTGATATATTTCTTATGTATAGTTTTTCTTTTTTCTTATTTTTTAAAACATAGATGTACATACATCATACCTCATAAGCAATTTTATATCCTGCATTTTTAACAATGGAAAGCATTTCTCCAACTCATTGACTCTTTGTTGAAGCATCACTGCTGAATTATTATATATAGAAAATGTTTACACTGATGTTGAAACTGCCACAAATGTTGAAAACATCATAAATGACTGCAGAATATCTCATTTTGAAGATGTTAGGTAGTTTACTTAACCACTTCCCTTGTGGAAGTTTTAGGTTATTTTTCCTTTTATAAATAATCCCTTCTAGGTTTAACATTTTCTCTGGTAGGCCAGTTTCCTAAAATAGCTGTCCCCATGTGAAATTGCTCCTGGATGGTGCAAATACATTTAGGATCACCGAGGAAAATTCAAGATCACAGGGCATCTGTGTCCGAACAGAGACTAGCAGCTTTCCCTTTTTCAACACGACAGAACCAGAAGCTTCTTCAATGCCAACTAGTACTACCAAAATAGGTACATGTGCTCACCTAACACTCTCTGACCCCTCTAAGTCCTCCCCTCCGCCAAAAAAAAAAAAAAATGAGACCCAGCCTTAAATGATTGCATGACAGCATGGCCCTGGCTAGTCCCTTTGGGCCTTCGGCCTTCACTTGACCCCAAGCCACCCAATGGAGAGGTGGCCTGACTGCAGGTATTAGGTTAGAGAATTTCCCTATCGGCCCTTCTGCGTATGTGTGACACCCTGAGCACCAAACCCCAAGCTCGCGGGCTTGGCAGGGCGCAGTCACCTTGCAGGTAGACCGGGAGGCTTAAAGCAATAGAAGCTGCAGCTTGCAGAGCTCCAGAGAGGTCCCAAGACACCGGCAAGCCCTCACCCACGCCGAGATCGGCCCTTGGTCCTCCACCCCCAACATTTTCTCCAACTGCTCCGCAGTCCCTCCTCTTCCCTGCGGCCCACTTAGTCCAACCTCCAGACCTTAACCCGACTTCCGATTCTTCTCAGTAGAGGGATCGCCCAAGCCCCCGGGGGTTGCCTTCCTGCCTCCCCTTCTCTGTCCGCGCGGACCAAGCCAATCCCAGTCGCCACAGACTGGGGTCTCCGCCACCCTTGAGCGTCCTACTACCTTGCAAGACCCGCCATCAGACACTCATCATCTCCTCGGCACGCCTTTCCATGTATCTGTACGAGTTTGTCCTCAATCTTTCTCACCACGACTGGCTTTCGGTCCTGCTTCGCCCACCCTGCCTCCCACCGGTCTGCGGGTCTTCTGGCCCTAGTCTTCCTGTTTCACCTAGTCGGTCCTTCTCTTCACGGTACCTCGATCTCTTTTAGGTACCCCTCATAGGCCCCTCCCCATGTCAGTTCTCTGCGCCCCCGCCCACGTCTGTACTTCTGTCCGTCCCCTAAAGTGATCTTCTGTTCCTGGAGTCTGGCCTTCCACCCAGCTAGGTCCCTGGTCACCCGCTGTCCCTGGGCCACGATAGTCTGAGGCCCCGTTCCCCTCCTCAACCTGGGAACTCTTCCCTCTCCCACTTTCTCTACTTTGAATCCATCCCAGCAGAGTCCAGGAAGTAGCCAGGCGCCGGGGACTGGCGGCTATGGAGCCCAATGAGAAGCGCCAGCGGCGGCGGCGGCCCCGCCCAGACAGCAAACCCTGCCAATGGCCGAGTGGAGGCGGGACTTCCGCTGTAGCGGGGAGGGCGGGGGCAGCGAACTGTTGTGGTGCGGAGCGTTGGGCTGGTGGCGGCCGGGTGGCCCAGGGGCTGCCACTGGACTCGGGGCGCAGCCGAGCGGCTGCAGGGGTGGGGCGGACCCGACGCCCTGCGGGGCTCGGGCGCCGCAGGTTCGAGGCCGGGCCCCGCGCGCCGGAGGCCGCGCTACCCCCGGGGAGCTGCCCAGCGGTGAGTTTGCCCAGCAGCCGAAAGAAGGCGGGAGCCGGCGGGGGCCCTCGAAACCTTCTGGCAACCTGGGCCCGGAGTCTCCGGGGACCTGCCGCTTCCTGGGTCGCCCTCCCGGACGTCCCAGCCGAAGGGTAACTGTTCTGGGCCCCCGGCAAAAGGAGCCTTCAGGTGACCCCCGGCGGGGCCCTGCGAGCCGCGGGAGCCAACCTCGGGGCCTGGAGCCGGGGAGGAAGGGGGCTTTCCGGAGACGCGCGGCAGGGTCCGAGGAGCCGTAGCGCAGCGGAGCGGAGCCGGGCCTCCCGGGCACGGGGCAGGGCAGCGCGTGCTCTGGAGACAGACTCTGGGACCCTCGGGTGCGGGGGCCTCAGCGACTGCCCCGCGGGGATCGCGGCCGCGGAGTGGCCTACAGGGGAGCCTACCCCCAAGAGGCCGGCCCGGGACGGGGAGATGAACGGCTTTAGCACCGAGGAGGACAGCCGCGAAGGGCCCCCAGCCGCCCCCGCCGCCGCCCCGGGCTACGGCCAGAGCTGCTGCCTCATCGAGGACGGCGAGCGCTGCGTCCGGCCGGCGGGCAACGCCTCCTTCAGCAAGAGGGTCCAGAAGAGCATCTCGCAGAAGAAACTCAAACTGGACATCGACAAGAGCGTGAGTCTCCCCGCCCCCGGCTGGGTCCCCGCGCCGGCCGCTGCCGGCCTCTGCCCGCCAAACTACGGGTGGGACTCCGGGGCCCTCCCCGCCCTGGGCCTCGCTGCCCTTTATCTGAAAACCGAGGAGCTGGACTCGCGATTTCAAAGGCCGCTTCAGCGCGGACCTGCTCTCCCTAGAATTCTGCCCAAATCCGCAGGTTGGGGCGAGGGTGCTCCTAGGACCCTTCCTGCCGGGGAAGATTGACAAGTTTTTAGCTCGTTTAATTGGTTTAGATATTGGAGCAGAGAGAGGAGGGTTCATTGCGTTGACCCACGGAGGACCAAGTATTGGGGAGGTGGTAAGAAAGGGAGCCGGCTCTTCTCCAACTTCTCAGAGCCCTGCTATTCCTTCGGAAAAGGAAAGGTGGCAGTTACTTCCCTTTCTGCCGCGGCCTCAGCTTCTGCAAAGGGCCATCGAGCTCACTGCTTCGCAGGCAGCTGTAGGGAAATGGGGTTTTCAAGCATGTGGCAGAAATAAGGCCAAGACCAGGTCTTGAGAGGTGGCTCTTGCTATCCAAGTGACTGGAAGGAAGAAAATCTATTTTCTTAGGGATACCTTCTTTAGAAATGCCCAGTACGAGGGGGTTTACGTTTGAGTAGACTTGTCCTGTGTTTTGTGCCTAACTATAGGAAAACTTTTCTTGTGTGATCCCACCTCTTTTAGGTAACAATGCTAAAGAGGTGCCACGTGTCTACAAACTAGGGACTTTTTAGTTTGATATCTGTTGCCCCAGCATCTTGATTAGAAATTGGAAATGAGTTATGGGGGTATTTAATATTCAGGGAGACTGGCTAACATTCATCTTTAGGACTGAAATTTCTGCACTGTTGGTGGAAGTCAGAGAGTGCTTGTTAAACAGAAAGGACTTCCACTCTTCCATTTCTGATTTTACGGTTGAAACTGAGGCCCAAACTGACGGTGCCAAAGTCACACAGCACGTAACAGGCTGGTTAATTTCTTAAACCCATTGTCTGATTTACTTTCAAGCCCCATGCATAAGTCTTTAATAAGTAAAAGATCGGCCCTGCGCTTTCTTCCAGGCTCTTCCCTCCCACCCCAATTTTTTAAGTTAATTATAATACTACATCTACAACTCTCTTTTAAAATGGCTGGGGGTAGGTTAATAGCTTTCTTATTACAAACCTCCATGAACGAATGAAAGAGGAGACGAGAGGAGAGAAGAGGAGAGAAGAGAAGAGAAGAGAAGAGAAGAGAAGAGAAGAGAAGAGAAGAGAAGAGAAGAGAAGATTCATCTGAGCACAAACAGCTGGCTAGACACTAAGGTGGCCCGGATTAGGACACATGTTTAAATGAAACGCTTAAGACTAAGACAGTAGTGAACTCAGCCTGCCTTCTGTGTAGGTTGTTGGGAGCCTTTACTTAAGTAGCTTATAATAATAATATTTTCTAGTACTTAAAATAAAGAAAGGAAGAAGTTTACCATTCTTTTAAACCCTTGGATGCTGTCACAGCTGAGTGACTGTGCTGTTGCAGTTGGGCTTCCACTGACCCAGTGACCCCACTGGAGAACTTGCGTTGAGCCACGATGATTGTTGCACGTGCATGCGCACGCGCGCGCGCACACACACACACACACACACACACACACACACACAGTCTGGAAGAAACGCAGCCTCAGACCAGCACTGGAGTTCCCACAAGGCAACGCTTCTGAAGGAGTAGGGTTTCAAGGTGGAATCACTCACAGTTTGCTTCGAGGTGGTGTTGTAGAGTCATTATTTCTGGAAGAGATTCCATTTCATTCTCACAGGCTTGGGCAGGAATTCAGTTCTAAGGAACTCCTGCGTTATAAGAATTTTTAGCTGTTGTAGAAAATGAAACAGGAAAAGTAAACACTACAGCCCTTGCCACCCGCCCCTTCCTCCACACTGCCCCCACCGGAGGCCACTGAGCTCTGAAATTTCTGAAAACCAGTGTGTGCTTGAAAATGGTTAAGTAAAAATAATGACTTCTTATCACATAGAAAGAGTCTAGCAGAGACCCTTTTTAAATAATAGCACAAAATATCCCACTTGGGCAGTTTAGCTCATTTCATACAGGCATTGGCAGTGTTCTATGATTTATCAAGATATAACATGCTTTCAAAGAGCCCTCCAATGGACATATTTCAGCTTTTTTTTTTCCTTCTCGGGTAAAGTGGAAGTTGAGAATAGCGTAAGGAAAATGTTGGGATAGGAAAGGACACGTGCTGGGGTTCAAAAGTCCTGAGTGACCTTGGCCAGGTCATTTCCCTGCCCTGAGTGACTTCAGTTTATCCCTCTAGAAAATGAGGTTGGGGCCAGTGAGGTTGCATGGGTGGCTGCTGAGTTCTCACCCATCTAGCATTCCATGATTCTGGAGTCTTGACTTGGAGCTGGGGCTGGGAGATTTAGGAAATCACCTTTTCTGCCTGTTCTCCTACCAAGTTTGTCACTGAATTGGAGGAGCAGCTTAATGGGTTGACAAGTGGGGCTGGCTAGCATGAGGGCCAGCTCCCTAGCTGGGAAGTGGAGTATGCTGCAAGTGTGCCCACCCCCCGATAAAAGGATGTCCGGCATTATAGGCATCAACCAGGCGGGATTCTTAGGACAGTGACCCACGCTGTGCCTGACAGTCCTTTGACAGAGTCTACTCTGGCAAAGCTGTCCCAGTTTGTAACCATATGTAAATGGTGACTTTTACTGGCCTAAACTGCTTTTAGATGCAAGGGCCGCGTAAGTTCATGCCATAGCATTTATTGAGCACCTGCTGTCTGCAAGGCACTATCATAGTATAAAAACGACTCGTGACTCACTACTCGAACCACATGAAAGTGATCGTTCATCTGAATAAAAACCAGTTTTCATTATTTTCTCCATGAAGAGGCCTGAATTAATGGATGCTGGTTTCCTGTCAGCTTACTTTTTTCTTTAAGAATTTAAGGAATAAACTCAAATTCAGAAGCCTCTTGAGAACATTTGTGCAACAGCTGTTTCAGTGTCAACAGCCCCAAGCCGTTTACACAGGCATTCGGTTCCTGGTAGGTTTTTTGAATGGCTCCTCTCGTCAACCCTGGTACAACTCTTAAAAAAAACCTGTTCTTCACGTCTCAGCTGCTGTTGCCGCCTTCACTTACTACTCTGCCTCCAGCCTGTAGTGGAAAATCAGCAGTAGTGTGCCGCTGCTTCTCTGTGGTTCTGCCTCGTGAGGATGTCCACTTCCGTCTCCACTTCCCTTTGTGGATCAGACGTGAGGCGGTGCAATAATTAGAAGTGGGTGCTCAGAAACCACGTCTTTCAGAGACGGGTCATCCTCCAACCACACCTGTTACCAGCGTCAAAACTGTGTGTCCTGTATATCAGTACCACAGTCCCTTTGCTGCTCTTCTAAGCTCACGACTCCGGCAGGTCTCAAATGTCACGTTGCTCCCAGCCTCCAGAACCTTGGGGCACTAGGTCTTGTCTGAAGGAAAGGCAAAGCTGTTCCCATGTGCACCCCAAGCCCCAAATTTCTCCTTATGCTCTTACACGGGTAGTCACCTCCGCCTACTACTGTCTACCCTGGGGCTCCCTCGCTCACGCCTTCTGACACCTGCGTCTGAAACTCCAAGTTGTAGCTCTTCTTTCTGCACAGAACGCTTCCTGTCTACATGTGAGTCCTCCCCCGTAGTCAGGGCCTCCGCCCCAACTGTCTGCTGTGCTGCCCTCTCCTCGCTGAGTCTGGACTGTTGTTTTTCAACGAGGACTTGGTTTACACCACACTCCCAGTGTGATGTTGGTGTTCCCTCCACGGGTCTTTTGTTCCCCAAACCAGTAGTAAACTCCTGGGAGCGATGGCCCGAACTTTGTCATTCCTTCTCTCTCCCCACTGCCTTGAAGAGGAGAGTAGTAGCCCATTCACTGGACAGATGCTGTGTACATGGAATTGGCAGCTCTAACTTCCATTTGCTTCCCATCAGGTAAGGCACCTGTATATCTGTGACTTCCACAAGAATTTCATCCAGAGCGTACGGAATAAAAGGAAGAGGAAGACGAGTGACGATGGCGGAGATTCTCCTGAACACGACACGGACATTCCTGAGGTAACGGCCACAAAAGCCCACCTGAGAACGCTGGAAGGGGCCTCTAATCTGATCCTTCCCTCTGGCCTGGTCTTCTTTTTGCGCCAAGAGGAAATTTCAGTCCCTTTGTTTTCCATGGTTTGTTTGAAAAGTGAATCATAGAAGCAGAGTAATATAGAATTTGAGAGCTAAAAGCTTAGAAATGGATGGTTCTGCCTGCCCCGTCATTTTACAGATGAGCACAGGGACCCAAGGTCACACATACAGTTTGGGGCTCCAAGGCCTTTTCTTCAAGAAAACCCTGACAAATGGTGAAATACAACCACGGCGTCAAGTGTGTTAAAATTTTGTTTTTGCCTTTAAAGTTGGAGACTGAGTTTGTGTGGTTTGGGGGAAGTCACTTCCCCTCTGTTTTCTCGTCTGCAAAATGAAGGTGTAAGCTGTCCGTTCATACCAGCTCTGATTTCCTGTCACTCTCTGATTCCTGGCCCTGGGCTCGTTCTAAGTCCATTGTACTGGACCCCAGGGGCTCTCAGCCCCTGGCACTAGTGACACTGGCGGCCAGATAACTCCTTGTTGGGGGGCTGTCCTGCGAACTGGAGGATGTTGCCAGCGTCCTTGTATTCTCCCCACTGGGTGCCAGCCATGCCACTCCCTGAGTCGTGATCTTCAAACAGTGTCTCCTGACACTGCTGGGTGTCCTGGGGGCCGGGGGGTGGGGGGGACAAAATCATCACACGTTGAGAGCCACTGCACCGGACCAGGGGACCACCGGGGGACCGAAGCTTCTCACGCCAGAAGGCCGCCTTTCCTTCAGGGAGCCTGTGTCTATTAAGCAAGGCTACAGGAAGGAACATTGGATTTTTTTCTATTTAAATTGTTTTCATTGAAGACTCAGCAAAGAAGAACCGTTTATAGTGTACATTGAATATTTGACGCATGAATATTTCATAAGGCAACTGCCTGTTAGCACTCAGGGAAAATGACTGTAGGAAGGAAAAGGGTAGGCGGGCCTTTGTCTGCAGATGAGGAAACCTCTGAAAATACAGCCCTTTCCGTCCGCCCCTCCCTGTGTCCCCTTGTTAAGCATTGGTTTAATGTAGCTTCGATTGCCTTTAGCGTTATTATATTTTATAAGGAAATGGATTATTAAATTTCTAAATGCTTTTCCAAAAAAATAAGGTTTGAGGAATGTTTTGAAAAGAAGGAAGGACTTTGGTCCCTCATATTGATCATTCATTTTGTTTTTAAGTGCTCTCCACCTGCCTGAAGCAAGAACATCTCTTTTAGAGGCAGGTAAAGGCAGCCCAACTTTCTGGGCCTTCAATGTTTCATGACTGTGCAGCTTTCCTCTCTTCCTGTGTTAGAAGAAAAAGGGGGGGTCCTTTCCCCTCTCTTATCCAGCCATCTGCAGAGACCCTGGCCCTAACCTACTGACTTGTACACTCGCCACAGTAGCTTTGGAGCTTTCTATGGAGGGTTGTTAAGGATTCTAATACCTGAAGGCTGAGCCTAGGAAAGAACTGTTTGAGAATAACAGCACTTCTCACTGTTCTTCACGCCCCTCTATCCAATCTGCTGCCAAGCTTGGGCCCATCTTCCTCCAGGATGTCTGTCTCTGGTCCTGTCTTTGCTCTCCGTGCCTGGTGTACCCCTCTGGCATCTCCACCCCTCCCAAACTTCTTCATCTCACTCTAGATCGTTGCTTTAGCACCTCCCTCTGCCTGCCCTCCCCACCCCCTACCCTAACCATAACCCCGCCCTCCCCACCCCCTGCCCATCAAGCCACCACCAGACCCATGTTCCTGGAACAGCACCCAACATGCTACCATCCAGTCTCACTGTTTAACCCATCAGGATTACCTGTGACCCCCTAGCCCATCTCTTCATCTCCTGGCTTTCTGTGCTCATGATCTTCCCCCTCACTCCCTACTCTTGCTCTGTTCCTCACTGCCTTCCTGGATCCTGCCTCTCCTTAGCTTAAGCTTCACCGCCTCCATCAGCCTTCTGGGACCACCCTCCCCAGCCAGAACTCTTCTTCCACTATTATTTTTGTCCTCCCAGCTAGTTATTAGTCCTCAACGGACCATTTCTAAGACTTCTTTGTAGTCCTTCCCATCCCCACCCCTACCTAGGGTAGTGCCAGGCACACAGTGGGCTCTCGGTGAGTGGTGGTGGGTCAGGTGATGGATAACGTGTTTCTGCTCTTCCCTCTAGGTTGATCTGTTCCAGCTGCAGGTGAACACTCTACGACGCTATAAACGACACTACAAATTGCAGACCAGACCAGGCTTCAATAAGGCCCAGTTAGCAGAAGTAGGTAGACAAAACTGCATTCTAAAAAGAGAGTCAGCATTGTGCTTCTGATGGTGACCTTGAGCCTCTCCACTGCTCTGTGGGCCTAGTGATCATAATCCCCTCCATAGCTCTGCAAGCAACTTTCTGTTCCCTCTTTTAAACAACTTAGAGTCCCACAGCTTTAGATCTGCAAAGGCTCTGATGTTCATAAAAGAAACCATGGCACAGAGAGAGGAAAAGGCTTCCAAATTTGTGTGATTCCAGAATGGAACCTGGAACCTCAGGACTCCTGATTCCAAGTCTTGAGTGTGTTTGTTTGTTTGGATGGTATTTTTGCAAGATTCTTTATAGATAGGTTCCTTCTTGCACATCAGCTTTGTCAGATTGATCATTCCAAAACCTTTTCTCATGTTCTTAGGAGCTATTTTTCTTTGGATTTCTTTGTTGTTGTTGTTGTTGTTGTTGTTGTTGTTGTTGTTGTTTTTACTTGATTTATTCTTCTCTGACGCTGGTAGTGGAAATAGTCATCGCGATGGATGGAGCCCGAGAGAGTCCTCTCCTGCCTGCCTAGGGTTCTCAGCATAGTGTGGAGGGCGGGACGTGCCCTGACGGCCACTGCTGCAACACACGGACAGCCTGGCCTGATGTTTCTCTCCGGCTGGCGCTTGTGTGGGTGCCCTCTCACCCCTCTTTTCTGACTGTTGTAGAAAATTTGAAAAACGGAGAAAAGAAAAATATAAGCCTACCATCCAGAGATAACCACTCTAGTTCTTTCTCTGACTCTCTTTTATTCTGTCCTAGCCACTTGGCTCATTCAGAGATTTTTTTTTTTTTTAAGAGTTTAGTCTTTTTATTTATTTTTTTAAAGATTATATTTACTTATTTTTAGAGAGGAGGGAAGGGAGGGAGAAAGAGAGGCGGAGAAACATCGATGTGTGGTTGCCTCTTGTGCGCCCCTTACCGGGGGACTTGGCCTACAACGCAGGCATGTGCCCTGACTGGGAATTGAACCAGCAACTCTTCGGTTCACAGGCTGGCACTCAGTCCACTGAGCCACACCAGCCAGGGCCAGAGATTTCTTTAAAGGCTCACAGCCCCACTGATTTTTGGTCTTGCCTTCAGAGGTATATTGCTGAATCGTCATTTTTTCTTATACCTCTCCTTCACCACCATCCAAATAAAACACAGAAGCACACAAGGCTTTCCTACTTAAGACTGCATTACCCATGTGCCAGTATTCGCCCCAGTGGGAGAGGTAGGACGAGGCAGGGCAAGAGGAGATATGTTCTGAAGACTTGTAAAATGAAGCAAAATTTCAGGAATGGAGAGTAAATGATGGATTTTTCTTCAACTCTGTGTGTCTTTCAAAATGAACTCTTAGGTAACACATCTAAGAGTTCAACTGGCTGTTCATTTAACATTTTTTTAAATTTATTTATTTACTTACTTACTTATTTAGAGACTCGGGAAGGGAAAGAGAAACATGGATTGGTAGCACACACGCCCTGCCCGGGGACCAAACCTGTAACCCAGGCAGGTGCCCTGACCAAGAATCGAACTGGCAACCTGTTGCTTTGCAGAACAATACCCAAGCAACTGAGCCACACCGGTCAGGGCTCATGTGACATAATTTTTAAAAAGACACTTTGCTGTCAAGTTTCAGAGCCTGAGAGATTATGGTAGCAGTTGGCCAACCAGATTAGTCCCAGTCTCTTCCGCCAGGGGGATGACCTTGAGATCATGCCATGATGGGCAGTAGGACCAACTGCCAGTGACGCAGAACTGCACCTTGGGAGTGTTGAGGGGTAGAGCCCCACTTTTGGAAGCCTAGAAACCCAGTCACCTAAACCGCAGGGAAAGAGGGGCAGTCTGGGCCCTGCAGCTCTACGGGGAGTTCTGTGGCGACCACAGCCGCCTCCACAGCGCTGGGAGCGGCTTCCTGGTCCCTCTGGTGCACAGTTGAGAATCCGTGGCCCTGACTTATGCATGTTTTGTGTGTGTGTGTGTGTGTGTGTTCTTTTTACCTCCATGTAGACTGTCAGTCGACACTTCAGGAACATACCTGTGAATGAAAAAGAGACCCTTGCCTACTTCATCTACATGGTGAAGAGTAACAAGAGTAGACTGGACCAGAAATCAGAGGGCAGCAAGCAGCTGGAGTGAGGATGAAGCACGTCCTCGGGAATGAAGTCTGATGCTTGACGCACAGGTGACATCTGCTACAGCTAAGCCCGTAAAGACTTCTAAGTTTTATTATAAATAAAAATGTTTGAATGATACATACTGTAAATCTTTTTGGTCAGGAGGATTATATTCTCCTGATTCAGCATGTGTATACAAAGACTTTGTTTTAAGGCAACTACTGGGCTGAAAAAAAAAAGCAAGATCATAGAAAAAATTAAAGAAAAACTACGTATTGCAGCATTCAAAACAGCATTAAGTCAGTGCTACTGGAAATGAGGGGTAACGTATTTTGGGAGTCACCTGGTAATCCCATTCTGCCACGCGTGAGAGGTAGCGCTGTGGCATCAGCAGGGTGGCGGTGGTGGAGGAGGTGCGTGAGCAGACCCCTGTGTGCTGGGGCCAGGGAGGCCCCGCCTTGTTGCAGGCTTTGTTGATCAGCAGATCGGTTTGACCCCCGGTTCCCCTTGGCTGGCCCCGTGCCTTACACACAGTAGGCACTCCATCAGCATTTGTTGGCTAATCGAGCTGTCACTAAGAGTGCCAGCCTTGTAACAGCTGCTTCACACCTGCAGTTAATGAGGCCTCTGCAACTTCTGTGGTTTACCACTTAACTTCTAGAGTGTGGAGGAAATCCTGACGGACCAACAAGAGGTTTCACATCAAATGAGCACCTCAGGACAGTCACGTGTGCCAAGCTGTGTTTGTGGAGGTTCCAGACACACAGGTGCAGAGAGACCTCGCAGGAGACGTGGCCCTTTGCACACCCTTGTGCACTTCCTTTTTTCGGGTGAAGTTGTGTGTTGAGATTTCAGCCATTCTCCTGGGCCGTAAATGCTTTTGCGAATGGAGGTGCTTAGAGGTTTGGGGCCCATGTTTTCAGAAGTGCTAATCCGTAGTTCACGACCACCAAGAAGGCTGCCAAGGACTATGTGCTTCCTGCTCAGAAGTCCAGCTCTGGGGCAGAAGTCTGCCTGGCCTCGACGCCCTGGGCTCAGGGGTCGGCAACAAACCGTGGGCCTGAGCAACAGAGACCAGTGCCAGCCGATGCACTCGTTCTTATGAGCAGTGTGCCTCCCTTTAGGGAGGAAGATTGTTAAAATGATTCTTTAAGTATTAATTACCCAATTTTTTTATGTTCACAGACTCAGCTTCCTCTCTAATTATGCCATAGCCAAAGTATCCTTTGAAAACAAAGCTTTATATCCAAAATTCTGCTTTTCCAAAATTTTCTAATCAGCGTGTTGCGGGCAGAGGGTGTGGACAGGGAACGGGAGAAAGAGAGAAGGATGTGGATGCTAATTTCTGGCCGTTTTGACATACGCTGTGGTCAAAAATACCGTTTCTTTACTCGGTTTTAAATCTGAGTTCTTTCTTAAGCCTTAAGTACTAAAAGGAGCCGTGGACGGCCCGGCCAGGCAGAGCTGTAGGGTCTCGCAGCGGACGGCTGGGTCTGAGTACAACACGGAGAAGTCAGAGTGGAAACCCCCGCTGAGCTGGGCGGTGGGTTCGGTTCTGTGGGGCCGAGCGCCACGCTTCCGGTGGACTGGGAACAGGGCCACCACTCTCCCTAAAACACAGCGTGTCCCACTGCAGCAAAGCTTCCTCCTGTGTCCGAAACGCATGTCTAGCAGATTGCATTTTCTAAATATGTATAAATGAATGTACATAGAACATACTCTAGACTATGAGAGGGTCTTATTTTAACACACCTGGCTGTGGACGGCACGTCAGGGCACTGAGTGTCTAGTCATTCAGATCCAGTGTGTATTTAGAGGTCATCTCACTACTTATAGCTGAAGGGAGTTGATGTGTAGGCATCAAGAAGGCTCAAAGGTGTGTGATTTATCTAGGTTTCATTTCTGAGAGGCCGAATTATAAAGGGCAATGGTGTTCCACACCAAGTCCCCTCTTCCGGGGGCATTTTTTTCTCATCAGACTGGAGGCTGGGGGCGGCTGGGCCTGAGAGCTAAGGCGTCAGAAACCTGCTCTCTGGAAATGTCCCTGTCTTCTTGAGAGAGTGTGTCTTTCTGATGTTTAAACCAAAATGATGACTGTGTAGGTCATGTCACCGTTTTTCTAATGGCAAATCTGTCTTCCCAGTTGAGAGAGACAGCAGTGCATTTCTATAAGAGAATACAGTGTTAGGATCCCTCTGTGCAAGTGAGTCTGTAAGAATGCTTTGTTCTGAGGGGCAGCCTGGGGAAACTCGCCACCTTCAGCCAGATGCTGTATACACTTGAGTCGCATGCCGTCTTTCCTCTAAAGAGAGCTGCTTTTGGAAAGTGGAGATTGTGGGTATCTATTTCACCTTTGGAAACACAGAAGGTGAGAGAAAAGACAAAGCTTTCCGAACTTACTTTTGTCTTGTGTGCAGAAGTCTTCTTTCATCAAACCACTAAACCACTTGCCTTAGTCTCTTCTGCAGTTTCCCATGGCTTGACCTGTGGGCAGGAGACTTCTGCCTGTTGGAAATGGCCAGGCCCTGCAGAGCAGCTGGGTCAGGCCTCAGGGAGCAGTGGGGCTTGGGGAAAGCAGTGTCCATCTTGGCTGCCTGCATTTTTATGCCACCTGTCAAGGACTCTTGCGCTTCTCTCCACCTGTAACATTACAACATTGCCTTTTCTCCTCTTGGTGCTCCTGGGCAAAACTGGAATTTGAAATAGAACTGGTGTCGTCTTCTTAAAGATTACAGTGCCTGCCTCAGTTCCGGCCTGGTATGGTTCTCCGTATGCCCCGAAGGTTGTCACGTGGACGTGCCAATATCCTGCTGTTCATATTGCTGCGTTTTAAGAAACCAGTGGACAAACTTCTTATTTCAGTGAACAAACTCTTACGTTGGCAACAATCATAACTGAATCTCATGAAAGACTGAAACTAAGGATTCAAGACTGGCAGTGTAAAATGAAGAGGAGTTTATGTGTTACGGCTGCTAAGTTGCTAGATGTTCCTGTCATAGCTAAATACTCAACTGCTAGCCTTCTGGAGAACAGATACTAATAATTGTTTGCGGTCATACTGTTGCATCCAACCTTGGCATTTCAACTGTTTATTTTCTGGGAACTTTTGTGTTACTATCCTACAGGACAACTGCCTGGTGGAAGGGAGAAGGTAGGAAGAGAAGCTTACTCTGGGGGCCTTGCCTATTGCAATAGGCTGCCCCAAGCCAGAGCAAGGGCTTCATGGAAACCACCTGAAGGCCCTCGCTCAGTACAATGACAAGATCTGAAAGTTGGGAAAGGAGCTTTAAGTCACCCAATCCCGTCTCCCCATAGGTGCTGACCTTCCTCCTACAACCGTCCCACCAAGGGGTTGAGCAGTCTGGGCTTAAACACCTCTGAGGACAGAGAATTCACTACCTCCCAGGGGTGTCTGTTTCTATCTTTGTAAACCTCTGGCTTTTCTATGTTCTCTGTGACTTCCATCTGAGTCTCTGCCCAATGAGGGCCACATGGGATAAGTTGCTCATCTTGGCCAAGGACCTAGTTGCTTGCTGACACTGTCCCAGGGCATAACAATTGAGTTTTGAAAAGAAGTAGCTAGCAAATAGACACGTTGTCGTCCTGACTCTCCAGCCCTCTGAGCATTGGTGCGTTTAGTTCCTTGTGGAGAACGCTGGGGAATCCCCATCTCCTGGTTGCGCTCTCCTGTGCTTGCTGAAGCGGACGGAGGACGTCAGCAGAGGCCGGGATGCTATTGGCCTGATGGGAAAAACCCAGCACGGAGGAGGCCTTAGTGCTGTGTTTGTCCCACAAACACCAATGCTCACATCACTTAGGAAAAACTTTAGCTAGAAAATTTTAAAATGTTGCTCTATGTGGTGTTTGAAGTTTCCATGGCTGCTGAAGGCTTGCACCTTAAGATTCCTGAAAGTACTTCACATACTATTTTTACCAAGAAGGCAGAGCTTAGGAACTTGGCCAAATCGGGGAACCACAGGCCTCAATGTCTGAGAAGCACCATATTTTCAAGCTTGAAAGTCCTATAAGGTTGCTGTTGTCCAGTTCATTTTTAGAGGTGGGGAAACTAAAATTCAAAAAGAGCTTTCCCTGAGTCCCGCAGCATTGCTGGACTCACCTCTGTCTTCCGGGCCTGCTCAGTTTCTGACCTGCAGTGTGGCTCAATTCAGTCTAAAGTGACCTGCCTCCGCTTCTTGAGACCTTGAGACTGAGCTGAGGTTTCCAAGACCAACCTGCAAACTCAAGGCTCAGTGAGTGATTAAAAAAAGCCATCAGCTGAGTTTTGCAAAACAAATGAAAGGCGCAAACAGAGCTCCTTTATAACTTAAGACCAGCACCCAAAAGTGTTGGCAGGATACTCAGTATTGTCCTAGAATCTAAATTCCCACAGAATGGGCTTGCCCGTGAGACCTGTCAGTCAGACCCCCGCCTTTCAGGTCATCCTCGGAGAGCCTGGGACTCTGCCAGCCCTGACCAGACAGACGCAGCTCTGTGGCCCGGAGATTTGCAGCCTTCCAGCCCCTGAGCCAAGCGGTTGCTGAGCCAAGCGCTTGAACAGAAGGACAGGAGGGCCCAAGATCATGCCCTGAGAAGCACAGTGCTTTCAGGGTGCCTTTCTACTCCTTTCATTACTGACTGTTTCCACGTTTGCGGTTAGGAACGGTAAAGGTGATCTGGTGTCTCTGGGTAGAATGCAGACTGCAGCAGGGTGGGACCTTTCCTTAAGGTAGAAATGTCTACGATCAGTTCTTTCATCTAGCTTGCATCTTAAAACACATACGTTTTGGTTGCTTTCACTTAACGAACACATCTTTGCCAGCGACAGGGCTGTACGGGACCCTGTTGTACATTCGTGCCCATCGGAGTGTTTGGGGGGTGTGGGTTTTTCCATTTTGTAACTGCCTTATTGAAAAGCAAGTGCCCTTCCATTCCAGGCCTCCTCATATTGTACGTTTCCTGCCAAACTTGGGGGATCATTTGTATTTTAATTTTGTAATCTATGGCTCTGTACTGTTGAAAGGCTCTCAATTCTGTGGGGTCTCCTTAGTAATGTATGTGACTTTTCATGTTGCAATACCACACAGATGGGACGGCCCGACTTCCGCTTTTAATAAACGATCTGAATGAGTAACAAGAGACACACTCTGTTCTCTTTGAATGTCCACGTGGAATTCGGTGCTTTCCCTCTCTCACTCAGCCCCTGGCGGTGTAGTGCAGTGATTGATGACAGCGGTCTCTCCTCCTGCCCCCCCACTCCCCCCCTCCCCCCATTCAGTCCCAGCACACACCGAGAGAGTTTCAATCACTGGCACTGGGCCCTGGCTCTAGACTTGCTTTCACGCTCACTCGCATGGGCGGAGACTGTGGCCCCACGGTCTGAGTCTGAAGCCTGAGTGCCGCACAGCACACCAGGCACCCAGGGCAAAGAGCTGCGCTCTCTGGGTCTTCAGTTACCTGCCTAAAAAGCGAGGGTCCTGAGCAAACCAGACGAACAACTGCAGAGTGAAATCATGCGGGGGGCGCGCTGCAAACTGGAACGCTCCGTCCCTCCTGAGGGCAGCCGCTGCTCAGCTCCAGCCAGCCGGCTGTCGCCACGTGGGAATGCCTGTTCTGCGTGGCCAGTTCTTACAGTTTGACAAGAGGAGCTGGAAATACAGACCTTTATGTAAATAGCCCAATGTGTAAATGTCTCAAAAAATTATGTAACAGTTGGCACATCAGCTGAATGCTCATTAGGAATCTCTGCCACCCCTTCACCTGCCAAGCCATCTGCTGAATCAGAATCTGCCTTTCAACCAAGTCCCAGTCATGACGGGGCTACCTGACTGAGCTTTACTGGTGCAGGTCCCTGGGGCCCCGGGGCATGAAGCCCCTTGCGCAGCCAAACCTTGGACTGAGGTTTTCACTTGGGCTCTGTCACTAATGCCACTCCAGCACGCCTCTATCCTCAGCAGAATGAAAGGAAAAGCGCAATAACTGTTTTTGTCAGATTAGCTAGAAGTAGCACATGCTAGTCCTAAAGCGGTAAGTAGCAGCAAAGTGCTCTTCCTCCTCCCCTTCCTCACCCTCCCGTTCTCCTCCCCTCTCAGGAGTGTGGAAGGTGACTTTCCAGGAGGCTGGTGGGGGCAGGGAGGGCGGGGAGTCTTGGCTGTCCCTGGGATTCATTTCAGATTGTCTCTGAAGGCTGCCATCACCTAGTCTCCAAGGCGCCCTGAGCTGACTGCCTTTAGAACGCAGAGGAAGTTCCAGTTTCCAGAGCACGTGGCCTCCTCCTTCAGGTGTAACAGAGATCATTCCTCCCACCCCTCTGCCTGCTGCCCCCGTCCTCTGGCCCATCCCACGGGACCTCAAAGACGTGCTTGCCCCCTCGCCCACCTTTCCCAAACAGGCTGATCCCTGCGGAAGCCGAGCTCCTTTGAGGATCTGCAGACATCCGCTCTCATGGACGGATGAACCCACATCATAATGTACCACTAGAACAGAAGTTTCACTGGGAACCACACACCCTTTTTTCAAAAAGAGACCTTCAGAACATAGAATATCAGGTCATCTGAGGTTCAGCGTTTCTTAAAGTGTGGCACTCGCCAACCCCCCACAATCAGAATCTCCCGAGAACCCAGTTACAGTGGGACCCCCACCCCAGATTCTCAGAATGGAAAGCCAGGAGGCTGAACTCCCGGAATGCAAATGTGATTTCCCTGGGTAAGACTCCAGCCCACAAAGATTTTGAGAAGCGCTAGTCAGGCCAGAGGCTTCCCAATCCAGCAGCTTCAACCTCATCTGGAATTTGGTCAACAAAGTTCCCATGAGACCTACTGAGTGAGAATCTCCTCAAGCAGGGCCCAGGAGACTGTTTTGACAAGCTCTGGGGAATCTGTATGCACATCCAGGTTTAGAAAGCACAGAGTCGAGCTCCTACAACCCAGGGAGAGAGCGTAGCTATGTTCAAGCTCAAGCAGCTCAGAAGGGTCAGCCCCTGAGCAAATACAGTGACATGCACAGCCACAGAGACTCTATGAAGATGAGTCATTCAGAGGGATGGGCTTCAGTGTGCATAAAACTGGAGCGAAAATCATCCACAGTGGCTAGCACAGTGCCTGGCATGTAGGAGGACACAGTTAACGTCTGAACAGTTTTTTAGTTTGTAAGTATCTCTCATATGCAGAAATAATAATGGTAGCTACCAGTGCCGCATGCATGCCAGGTCTGTTACTAGTTCTACAGTTTGCATTGAGTCTTTCAGTTGCACTACAATCATATAAAGTAGGAACTATTATTAACTCCAGTTCACAGAGGCGTAAATGCAGGGAAGCTGAGGAACTGACCCATGTTCATCTGGTCCTAGGGACACGTGTCAACCCCACCATCAAAGAATGCAGGAATGTCACGCTTTTGAAGCAGTGCAGCCACACAGTCACCCTTGTCCCCATCAACTGGATTTACTAAACTTTAATGAGGGATTCCTAGAAGTCACTGAGACTATAGTTAAGAAATTTAATAGGGTTTAATGGAGGTTAACAAGGTACATCCAACTCCCCAGCCAGGTTTTAACTCACGAGAGCTGCACAGAGATTAACAAGCCCGGGAGGTGTAAAGGCACCTGCATGATTTAATGGGGTTAATGAAACTGTCAGAGGTTGGCCGAAAGGGACGGAGCTGGAGCATGCCGCTGTTCACGAGTCACTCTGGCCGAAGTCAGCAGACATTTGCTCAACAGATGAGGCCTGCCCTGCCCTGCCCTGCGCACACAAGGGTAGCAGATAAGGAAAGGCCACAACCAACACACCGACCCTGGTTAGTCCCGGTTGGTGGGATGTGGAGTTCTACTTTCTCCTCTGTACTTTTTTGGTATTGTCTAAATTGTTTATGATGGGCCTAAACCATTTCCACCAAATCTATAAAACAGCAAAGCAATTTCTGAATACTTTTTTTAAAAGATTTTATTTATTTTTAGAGGGGGAGGGAGGGAGAAACAGGGAGAGAAACATCAATGTGTGGTTGCCTCTCCTATGGTCCCTACTGGGGTCCTGGCCTGCAACCCAGGAATGTGCCCTGACTGGGAATTGAACCAGTGACCCTTTGCTTCACAGGGTAGCTCTCAATCCACTGAGCCACACCAGCCAGGGCACAAAGCAATTTTTTTAAATGCCCTCAATACATGCACTCTTTGCTTGCATAGTTTAGGTTACATATTCCTAAAACCTGTAAAAAACAACAATACAATCTTAAATTTGAACAGCACTTAAGTGTTGCAAAGGGCCATCACTCATGATCTCCAGGGGTATGTCACACACTACAAAAGTGATATGCAGGTCACATGGTGCGTGAGAAGCCAAGGCAAATCCCCATCTCTGCCTCCTAGGTCAGTGCCGTGTCTTCCCTGAGCACTTACTAGGTGATGGGTCCAATGATGAGCACACCACACATCCTAGGGCCTTATGAGTAGGATTATTCTCTCTGTATTATAGACACCGAAACAAGTTTAGAAGGTGAAACAGCTTGTCTGAGACCGCCAGAAAAGAGTGGTGGGAGTGAGAGTCGAACACAGGTCCATGTGACCCCAGAACCCACTGTGCCCTGCTGCTGCCTGCTCATCGGGTACACTCACGTCTGCAGGAGTGCTGTCCAGGACAGGGAAGAGCTGGAAACAACCCGCACGTCAAATAATAGGGGGCTGGCTTTAAAGAGATCATACTTTTATATTATATACTTACAATAATTATATATGTTATATATTAGCATATGCCAAAATTGGAAAATAATATCTAATGACAACATTCATCAGTTTAGAAATACGAGGTCTATATAATGTATATGTATACAAATTTTATGAATATGAATGTATACAATGTGGGTGTGCATAGTTATATGTATGCATACTACAGAAGTGTGTATATGTGTGTACATACACACCTGTATTTGTGACTGTGGCCGTATCTGTAGGCATATCAAAGCATCAATTTACCAACTCCAGGTATGGCCATACTGCATCTGTATCTGCAGGATACAGAGTAAGCGTAAAATAAGATGGGGGGAAGGCTTCCTGAAAATCAAGGGAGCTCCCTGGAAGAAGAGGCTCCTTAGCAGGCCCTTTGAGGAAATGGAAGGGTCGGCAGGAGACTGAGGGTGAGCGGATGTCCAGTGCGGAGCAGAAAGCCTCAGGAGCCAGAGTGAGGCGCCTGAACTCGGGAGTCACCAAACTTGGTATTATTAAAAACCAAGCCAAACAACAATACGTGGTCAGAAAAATTCGCTTCTGCTGTGAAGAAATCTGGAAATGGGTTCTGTCCTCCAGGAGCCCGGAACCCCAGAAGAGTTCATACCCCGACAGGGCTGGAAATCCGAGCTCCCACGGCTAAATACGCTACAGTCCCGAGGAAGTCTCTCCCGGAGCCCAGCGCCCAGAGGAGCCATGAGCGCGCGTGCGTGCGTGCGTGTGTGCGTGCACACGTGCATGCGTACAGGTGTACGTAGTGGGCTCGTGCCCTCTTAGGGAAGCCAACGAGGCTTAGCAAGTGTAATGAGCTTAATTAAGCAAAGGTGGCTAGGGAGACTTCCTGAGGCCCGCTGGCCACCAGCAAGATTGAACTCTGCTAAGGGAGCCGTAGGGGGACACCTGCGCCCAACCAGACGCTCTGACGCTCCTGTTTAGGAGATGTCCCCGGCTTCAGGGGCAGCAAGGTGGTCAGCTGGAGCAGGGCAATGAGCTGGTCAGACTCGGCCATGCCAGCGAGCAACAGCCTGAAGGTGGAACTGTGTCTGAGAAAGCTTAGCGAAGCCCCGAGAGTGAGGACATGGAGGGAAGCAGCCACTGACAGGACGCCAACCTGCTGGTAGGGTTTACCTCAAGTAACTGAGGTTGGCCTCGGCTGAGCCCATGTTAGCAGCTCCAAGGAGGTTCCAGCGTCTTCTACGGTAAGGGCGTTTTATTTCTGGTTTCTAATACCGCTTTAAATGCATTCTATTCATGTTGCCCTCTAGGAAGATTTCCAGAGCTGAGTGTGGAAGAGTGGTCAGGACGACACACTAGCAGAAATCATCACTGTTGTTTGTTGAACACACACTCGGTACTTGACACTGTGCTAGGATATTTTTTCTCCTCTGTTCTGTTTCTGGCTGTGATCCTCACACAAA